GACCGTCAGGCTTGGGCTCAAGATTAGGCCCAGACTCAGGCCAAGACACGGGTTATAATTGGGCCAGTGCTGGCCCTGTTTGTGTTCCGATGGATCCACACTTAAACAGGCTAAGACTGAAACAGATTGAAACTAGCACACGAACATATGATAAAAAAAAAAACTGAATAATGATACAAGTTGACTAACTAAAATCAAACTCATTTTTAAAAAAAAACGCCTAGGTCCAAGAGTGAGCCCAAATCAACATTGACTTTAAATTGGACCTCACAACACTGATCAATTTTGCAACAAATGAACAGTTTAATTTCGCTAACATCAGACACTTGCTCATCTTAAAATTTCAAATTTCATATTCATATTCAGATCATGTTTAAGCTAACGAGTTACCACTCTTACTTCTGAAATTTAACAACAAATTAAAGTGATTAGCATTTCTAAACCAAAGGAGACACCTGTTCTAACATTAATGCGAGCATACAAACTGATTCTGGGCTTAGTTTCAGGCTAACATTTTTGTTCCAAATTTAACATCTAAAGTAATTGATGACAAAAATCAAAATTAAACTATGCTAAAGCTAATAATACCAAACAGAATGTTCATATGATCCTGAAACAGTCCAACAGTCCAATTATTACAACTGAGATTCATGTGACGTCCAACTACTAAACAAAGCTGAAATTAAACTACAATTACATAATAATGAAAATAGAGGCAGATTCAAGTGCGCAATGCTTCTTCATTTGACTTCACAATCATTTCATGTACATTGAATGAAACTCTACATCATTAGAGCGAGTAGTGTACCTGGAAAATAACAGATGAGAAAGGAGAAGGAGATATCAGCTAGCAGTAGTGGCAGTAATCAGCAAGTTCAAGCAGCGATTCACAGCAAATTGAGCCAAAATTTGACTCAAATAATCCCGGATTCAGCTCAAAATTAGTGCAAAAACTTCAACAATCTTAAATGCTGCAACAGGGAACACTGACAACCAGAATTCAACTTTGAAACTGGGAATTTGTGCAGAACTTTTCACTAGAACAGTGATTTCAGCTTTTGTGCTTCTTTTTTTTTTTGGTTTTTTCTACTGTATTTTTGTATGTTTTTTTTTTTGGATTTTTATCAGGAACTAAGAGCTAAAAGAAAACCTGAACTATTAGGTACGCAGATTTTTTCAAAACTTCCAAAAAACTTGTTCAACAAGGCAATAAGCATGCCTTTTATAGGCAAAGCCTAGGGCTGCCTTCAGATTGCTATTTACACCTTTAGTCCCTTATTCATTTTAGTTTTTAGTCCCTTCTTTTTAAACTTGTTACCCAAGTAACAACACCTATTTTATTGAAGACTATACTAAAGTCTATTCTAGAAAGTCCTATACCCATTACAATTCCTATATTACCCCTTCTCTGCTTTAAAATTACTATTTCTAATAAAACTACCCTTTTCTATGCCTAAATTAACCTTCTACTAGTCTGAAAATTACATACTGGTGGCTAACTGACCCTAACTCGAATTAACCTGCAGTTAATTAACAAAAGATCACTCAGCTATATCCAATCCTTAAAATCTAGTCGAATTGCAAATGAGAACTGAAACTCAATTAAACTAAACTTGAACTAACAGAATCACGAATTCAAATAATTTCAAGGCGGGCTGGAAACATTAACAAGAAGAAACTATATTGAATCCTGGAATTTTAAGAAGAAANCCCCTCCCCCCCCTCCCCCCCCCCCCCCCCATGTTGAGAAAATGTGAAAAGAAAAAAAACAAAGAACAAGAAAGAAGTTTAATGTTGTATACTGTTTTTTAATTATTTTTTAGATATTTTACGTTTGGTATTCGATACTCGTATGTTAATTCAAATTTATTTCGTATAAAGCTCATTAAAGGAAAAAACATTCTCGGCCAAAAAAATTTATTCTCAAAGCTCAAACGCATGATCTCTTGTTAGGATAAAGGGATCTTATTCATCGTAAATTCTTTTGTGGTTGCTGTCGCACCACTAAATATTACAGGAAAATTCATCGTAAATTGATTGATTACAATTTACATCCCTAAACCCGCAATAAATCAGGAAATCAGGTTGACGAACTTAAATATTATTGAGATTGCGAAATTTTTCTTCCTTATTTTACATATGGAAACAGATTCGCTCGCAAAAAGCAATAAATATTATACATGACATACCCTTTTTTAGTTGTACTTCTATAACTTAATTATACAGTAGTTTAGTTAAATGTTTATTTTACTACTGATATTTAAAGAGGGCAGTCGGGTGCACGAAGCATCCTGCGTTTATACAAGGTCCGAGGAAGGGTTGCATCCCAAGGAATATGATGTAGGCAGCGTAACCTAATGCAATCATTCACGGCTCGAATATGTGAATTGATTAATTATAATAAGTTAATATGATCTATCATAAAAGTTAAATATAATTTATACGGCAAAATTCACACACATTACCAAACGCTTCGATCATTCTAGCACCAATGTGGATGCAATATGTTGGTAACGACTCAAACTACTGTATACGTAAAGTAGAAACATTAATTGTTTCAACATATATTTTGCATTCATTGACTCAAAAAGCTGCATCCTTCTTTTATTTGGTATTTGGTACTTATTTTGGGATTCATCCATTAAATTCAATTCATGCCAGAAAATTTCACTTTGGGAGGTAAATCGTTTCCTTCTCAAGGTAATTCTATACCTAAAACTCGAACCCCAAATTTTTGGTTAAAAACGGATAAGTACTTGCTATTCCATCCCAACATTCTACTTACCCATTTTGTCGGATTAATTAGCTTTTTGGTTCTTTACAAACTTGTTTTTAGTTTTATGACCCTACCTCTTTTTTACATATAAGAGATTTATTTTTACACATAAAAGATCTGTCTTTTACACATAAGAAATCATTTTCTTAAATTCAAAATTGTAAACGGACATGACATACAAATAACACCAATTTTTGTCTAGCATTGAATATCACCAGTAATATATGTGATCACTTTGGTAACTTTCTATTGTTTAAAATAACTTCAAATGGCAGCTTTTTGGAATCGTCACATCTCAAGATGATACTCATCCACCCCTCTACTTAACCCTTTATACGCAGTACATTAACTTTCCTGCTGTATAAATCGTTAAAAAGAAACCAAGAATGATTAAGATAATTAAATTATTGTGAAGTGCTAACACCTCCATTATATTATGCAGCGAATTAAAATGTTCTCCTTATGTCTTATTATTATTGGGAAAAAAACTTATCCATTCTTTACGACAATCACATTCAGTCTTTAGATAAAATTATATGGTTAAATGATCACTAAAGTGTAACACTACTAGAAAATGGCAGATTTCCGACAGCCAAAACGGTAGGAATTCGGTCGAAAATCACGTATTTCCGAATACTTTTCGACCGAAATTGGTCGGTCGGAAAAAAGTTGGTCGGAAAACAATATCCGACCGAATCTATCGATGATTTCCGACAAAAGTGGTAGCAAATTTTAATAAGGTCAAACTACCAAATAATTCACGTTTCCGACTAAAGTGGTCGGAATTTACCGACTGAATCGGTCGTAACAATACAAGGAAATTAATAATTAAAAATTAAATTTTATTTAATTTCCGACGGAATCCGTCGAAAACTATTGAATATTAATTGTTTTTTTAAATTTCCGACCGAATCTGTCGGAAATTAATAATAAAAAATTAAATTTTATTTAATTTCCAACGGAATCCGTCGAAAATTTCTGAATATTAATTTATTTTTTTTAAATTTCCAACCGAATCAGTCGGAAATCTGAAAATTTATGGTTAAATCTGGGGAACTGTCCGACCGTTTCCGTCGGAATTTTGTATAAAACTGGGCAGAATTCTGCCCAATTTCGAGCTACACCACCTGTCAAACTATCACAAACAAAAAAATACCAACCAACAATACATTAACAACAATCTAAACAAACGATACATTAATACATTAATACAATAATACGAACATTAACCAAGTGATAGTCTGATATATGTGTATGTAAAAATGCATCTAAGGTATTTACGGATTTGCTTTAAATGTTCCCAAAGCTATCACTAGATCTAGTGGAGTCCTATTGTTTCGGAAGCCTTCTTTTGTGATGAAATTTCGAGGAGGTTGATGGTTTTACAAATACGACAGTAATTGATACACGTATTTTGGTAATCTAACTTCAATTAAGGTGAATGTAGTATGATGGCACTTGAGGAGAGTCTTGGAGTAACGGTAAAGTTGTCTTTGTGTAACTTAAATATTACGGGTTCAAGTCGTAAAACCAACCACTAATGTTTGCATTAGGGTAAATTGTCTACGCCTTTCAGGTGCGGTTTTCATTTACTTGTATGAACATTTTAAAGGTAGATAGCGAGGGAGTAATATTTAGGGATAATACATAAAAAATTTGTACTTCCACAAAATTTTCATGCGCACTTAACTCTCGTTTGGCCATGGATTTTGGCTTCATTTTTTTTAAAAAAAAATTAAAAACATTGTTTGTTTATGAAATTGATCGTGGGGAAAATTCAAAAAATTTCAAGTTCCAAAAACTGAATTAGGACAGTTTTTGAGTGAAATTTTTTCTTCCCTTCAAAAAACTTCAATTTTTCTTCAAATAAAATGCATGTACAAACACAACTTCAACTTTCAAAATTTATTTTTCAACAAAACTTCAAAAAAAAAAAAAACTTCAAATTTCAATCAATCTATGTCCAAAGTCCAAACGGTAGCTTAAACTTGCGAGATCATAATCTTATACTCGTTTATTAATCTAAATCATCTATTTGCCTCTATCTAGCATTGAATGTTAACACTCTGTCTAGCATTGAATGTCAATACAAAGGTATGCCACACCACATAAATTTTGAGAATTGTCACATTTCAAAATGATACTCATCCACCCCTACCACCCACCCCCCCTCCTTACTTTTGTACTATTACTTCATAACTTTTCACAGATGTGGAAATCCAAAAAAGTTCAAAACTTGTGTTACTACTTTTACTACTACCACTTTTCACTTTCTAATAAATCAATGTATAGTCTCATCAAACTACAAAACTAAAGTACACTAAACTATTACAAATATGACCATCATCATTTCTTTTGTCTATTTCATAAAAGTTGCCTAAAAAAAACTTAAAACTATATATCAAGTTGCAGAAGAAGTAGAAGAAGCTGCAGCTGGCAAAGGCACAGATTGTGATTGTGAAATCCAATCCAACCACCTCGTTACTGCTCTTCTTCTTTGTCGTTGTCTCTCTAATTGTCTTCCTCTTTCCTCTTCATTGCTCCTAAACCTACTCATACCTGTCATTTCCGACACACTTCTCTCATTTATTACACCTCTGCCACTCCCGCTATTACAGTTTCTTCTTTCAATGTCAGCCGTCCATTTTCTCGATCCTGAATATCTACGGCTCTCGCTTAATATCATCTCCGACCGTAAAAACAACATATCACAAGCTTCCACGTCACTCCATCTATATTGGGTCCCACTTGCTGACCTGTCCTCTGACTCATCACCAGAAATTATTATCCGGTGTTCCAGCCGTCGTTGCTCCGCTACATCCTCCGCCGCTTTCGCCGCATCTATACGGTGTTTATTTTTTCCCGGCGCCGGCAGTAACATCGCATCTTTTCTCGTTGATGATATTGAGTTAGTGGACTTACATTGTTTCTTGTAAAAATTCCAACTGTCCAACGACATTCTTTTATTCAAAAACGACGGCATTCCACCATTTTCCTCTTTTGGAGTTTCCACTATTATTTGCAACGACGAACTTCCTCTTTCCCCGGCGGAAGAATGTCTTCCTGACGAATAAATCCTCTTGTTTTCTTTCGCCGGCGATGATGACGTGGAATTTGGAAAAGATTTTCTCTCTAATTGGGGACCATTATTTTCATGTGAGATAAGAAGAATATCTTCTGGGTCAACTTGGTAACGACAAAGAGGACACGTGGAATGTGCATCAAGCCAAGTATCCACACACTCAACGTGAAATGCGTGTTTGCATTTGGGTAATAACCGTAAGATTTCACTGTTTTCGAATTTGTTCAAGCAAACAGCACATTCTAAAGCTTCTGCTTTAGGCCCCCTAAGAGACCCGAATCTAAAAACGGGTAAAGATTCAATCACTGTACGGTCAATGCCAGAGTTTTTCCGAAAGCTTGACCGTGGCGGAACTCCTCCGCCGTAGGCGGCAGTGGTGGTGGTGGTTCCGAATGGGCCCCTCTTACAATGTTTTGCATATAAGAGTAATAAAAATGTGATGGAAAAAATTGTTGTGAGAATTGCTACAACTACTGCTATGCTTGGTCTAAATGGTGATTCTCTAGATCTATATGGGGTGGGTGGTGGGGGTGGTAGAGGGGGTGGTGGGGTTGTTAAAAATGGTATAGAAGAAAATGGGGTTTGAGCACTTTGTGCATAGGTAATAGTTTGAGCAGTGTTCAAGAAGAAGAAGAAGAGGAGCCAGAGAGAAGGCAAAAGAAAATGAACATTGAAAATTATGCCCATCTCTCGCTCTTCTCTCTGAAGAAGAATGCAATAATTAAAAAGAAAAAAAAGATTATGATTTTGATTTGATTTTCAAGAATTGTTTTCATATATAGTGGGTTTTAGGAGATGAGGTTTAGTGAAAAAGAGAATGAATATAAGGCCCCGTTTGGCCATAAAAGATTTTCACTTTTCCGTAATCAATATTTGGCCATGAAAATCTCAAATTTCACTTGAAGTTGAATTTCGAAATTTTACATAATTTGAAAAACTCCATAAAGTTGGTTTTTAGAATTTTCACTTTAAAGCACTCATAAAAATTCAAAAAACAGCTCCAAATTGTATATTATGTCCAAACATAACTAATTTTTAAATGTCATTTTTAACTTGAAACTTTTTTTCAGTTTTTTTTCGGAATTTTATAATTCTTACTCCAAACAACAACAACAACAACAATCTCAGTATTTTCTCACAAGTGGAGTATGGAAAGGGTGAGATGTACGTAACCTTACCCCTAGCCTAGAAGGACAGAGAAGCTGTTTTCGATAGACTTTCGGCTGAAGACATCCATAAACCTACTAAGAGAAAGAAACAAGAAAGAAAAGACAAAGAGAGATTTGAAAGTATTGTTAAGTGGAATACTTTACCAAAAAAAGGAAAATGTATAACTGGAAATGGGACATAAGGGGCAGGAATTGAGGGAAGGTAGGTTGAAGGAGGGGTAAGGGGGAGACAAAGGCACATTAAATTGTTTTATTTTAAATAAAGAAAACAAGAACAAGAAGAAAGAAGCTTTGGATTTACTAATAGGAAAGGAATGAAGAATAATTGGTTATGTACAAACTGTGTTAGTATTGTTTGTTTGTGAATAAATTAATGTTAATGGCCACATGATTGTGCAGTAAACAAATGCAAAGAGAAGAAAAATGGGAAAGAGAAGATGTTGATTAATGAATATGATTATTTGAAAAAGAATGAGAAGGGAAAGAGGAAACAAGAACCACAACACAGATACCGTAACTGAAGCAATTTGTACTAACTATACTTGTGACACATGGTTGGTTGGTTTTTTTATAAATATAGACGAATATATTGAATTTAACAAAACCTTTTTTTTTCGATTTAACCTTGTGATATTTAAAGTGCGTCTCTACCCTTCTGGGATAGGGGTAAGGTCTGCGTACATCCTACTCTTCCCAGATCCCACTAGTAGAATTTTACTGGGTATGTTGTTGTCTTGTGATACTTAAAGTATATTAGTCCAATTAATTTAAATATTGCAAACAGATTCATTCTTGAGCCCAGAGACAGTCGGGATATACGTATATTCTATCGTCCCCAGACTGTTTTATAGAATTATGAGTTTTTTTTTGTTGTTGTTGTATTGCAAATAAATACACTACGGATAAAACGTTCATCTTCGTCTGAGTCCATAAGCAATGACAAATGTCTTGCAAAGACTTGATTTGCTACTACTTTGCTAGGTTTTTTTAAAGGCAGAATAGCCTAGGAGACACTTGTACTTGTTTCGGTTTGTCATCCCGGTCCCTACACTCCATAAAGTTTCATCCAGGCACTTCAACTTAATCAAAACAAGACTTTTAAACACCTCCGGAATCGTGTGATGCTCACTTGCTTGACGTGGATGACAAATCAGCATCCACATCAGATTCTACGCCAAAATAATATTATTTAACAAAATTTTAATTTCATAAACAAAAAATAAAATAAAAAAGCAAAAAATTAAAATTAAAATTAAAGAAAACCCCTCTTCCCTTCTTCAAACCCCACTCAACCTTCTTAAAAGAATAACCCACCTACCATGGCTCCTCCACCATGAATACCAATCTATCCATGAAAAATACATGAGTAGAGAATTAAGTCTTTTGAATTTTGACTTATTCCTCTACCCCAATTTGGAAGGGCTGTGAAAAAATTTAAAAGCTAAAATCACCGGAAAAAATGGAGGAGTCATAGAGAAGGGGAAGATGACATGATGGAAGAAGAAATACACACCAAGGAGAAAATCTAATAAAAGAAGGGATGAAGAAAAAGGGGAAAGGAGGGGATCTAAAGAAGAAGATGAGGAGAAGAGGGGGGGGGGGTCGAACGAAGGGGGCTGAAGAAGAATAAGAGGGGGGAGGGGGGGCAGAATGAAGGGGGAGGGATGCGAAGAAGAAGAGGAGGGGGGGGAGGGGTGCAGAACGAAGGGGGAGGCGCTGCTAGTGTATTTTTATTTATTTATTTATTAATTTTTGTTTTTTTAATAAAAATGAATCATCAGCTCACGCACCTAATGTGCGTGTAAATCACTCATTTTGTCCACTTCAGCCATATTAATGCCACATAAGCTCGGTCAACGGTCAGAAGGGTTTAAAAGTCTTGTTTTGATTAAGTTGAAGTGTCTGAATGAAACTTTATAAAGTGTAGGGACCGGGATGACAAACCGGAATAAGTACAAGTGTCTCCCAGGCTATTCTGCCTTTTTTAAACAAATCACTGCTTATGAGTTGCTGACTCATTTTCGATAGATATGCAATCAAAGCCCTAACTTTTAAAGTCAAACGGTCAAACCTCTCTATAACAGACTCGTTTGTTTCAGATATTTTTGGATGTTATAGCAAATTGCTGTTATAAAAAATATATATTATAACAGAACATGAATTTTGGTTCCGGAAAAACTTAACTTTCGTAGTAAAATGTTGTTATATAAGGATGCAGTTATAGAGAGATCTGACTATATTATTGTTTGGGAACTTACGGTATCATGTTCTAATTCACCGCGGGATGATTCTCATTCACAAGTTCGAATCCTAGTTTGGTGCTAAATAATGATGAATATGTGTCCTAAATCTTGTATAGTACTCTTAATTTTTGATGAACAGTTGCGTTCTACTAGATTGTGAATAATACTAGAATTAACTTATAAATTATTTTTAAGGCTACTTTTTTATAGCCAAAATATCTACTGTATATATGCCACGAATCAAGTGTAGTGACTACTGACAATACAAGGCTTTACTTTGAAAAGGATTCATTCTTCACTCGATTTAAGACTTTATTTTTCACTAAAATTCTCGTCAGATTCGAGGAATCCTTAATCGTTTGAGGATCTATCATTCAATCATTGTTAAGTGGAAGGTTCTTTTGTCCCACCTCTTGCTGATTAAATTATTCCTCTTAATTACATGAGTATCATCGTTTGAGGATCTATCATTCCTCTTGTAGGCTAGGAGGTAGTTAAGTCTTACGTTATTTGTACCTTTGTGAGCCTAGTCCGGTAGGGTTTTTTCTAAGAGAGCTAGGGGCAATGCCGTGTCTTACTAATTTCTTTTTCGACGTTGGATCCATTTACTAGCCACCGTTTTGCTTTGCATTTTTCTTCTGCATTTTATGTTCCTATTTTTCCTATGATCTCCGTGATGAATCTAATATCCTATCATTTTGTCTTCTTTTTATTATCTTGAGCCGAGGGTCTTTCGAAACAGCCTCTCTACCCCTTCGGGGTAGGGGTAAGGTCTGCGTACACACTACCCTCCCCAGACCCCACTTGTGGGATTTTGCTGGATTGTTGTTGTTGTAATTACATGAGTGTCATTATATTGTGATTTATTGAATATCACATGCACTGTTGTTGTTCTTGATAGTAAAGACACTTATTACATAGAATCATTATTGTCCTCAGAAGCGTCATTCAATCACCTTTTTTGATTTACAAGATCTGAAGATATTATTCATAAGTAAAATTAACCTATGTTTATCTTAAATTAATTATTTGAACCAAACTTTACGTTTTTGGGTCAAACAAGAGTATAACTAATTTCATGTATAAAAGAAATTTAAAAAAAGGGAAAGTCTTGCACTTTGTCTGAACTTTAGTGTGATTTGATTTAGCCCAACCATGTTTTCTTTACATTTTATTAGGGTGAAATTCAAAACTAGCCAGATTTACAATTGATCGTTCAAAAAATAGTCCAGTTTTAAAAGTAATTAAAATTTAGTCACTTTTCATGTAAAGAAAAATCTGAGCGAAAACACTGTTCAAAACACGGAAAATACGCCAGTATATTATGCTGGAGTTCCAGCATAAATATACTTGAACTCCAGCATATTATACTGGAGTTCCAAGATAAGTATGTTGGAACTCCAGCATAATATGATGGAGTTCAAGCATAAGTACACTAGAACTCCAGCATAATATACTGGAGTTCCAGCAAGTACACCGGTCCAGCATAATATACTGGAGTTTGGAGCACCGGTGCTCCAGTCTCCAGTATATTATACTGGAGCCAGCAAAGTATACCGGTCCAGCATAATATGCTGGAGTTCATACACAGGTGCACCGAACTCCAGTATATTATGCTGGACCGGTCTCTGCTGCAGCAAAATAGTGGCTATTTTTCATTGACTTGGTAAACGCTGGCTAATTTTAAATGATCAGTCCGAAAACTGGCTATACCGTGCCATTTTAACATTTTATTACCTACAAAATAATCACAGTGCACACCTAAAATGATTTTTGGAGGAGGATAACGAAGCACTTCTGGCTATGCCTACTCAAGAAGAGAATAAAGTTGGAGTCTTTATTAGTATTATTAAAGAGGATATTATAGAGATGGTCAGAAATACAAGTCATATCGAGATAAAATTTGAAACTTACTATCCTCTTGCCTGGCAGACAATGATCTACCTCCATTAAAAAAAGGATTTTTTTATTTCTATACACTATTGAAAACTTTATTACCCTAAATGTTCATATTTAGTAAATTACCCTACCTACACAAGTTTTATTTACAAAATATATACATTCCACCTTAAAAGGCTCTCAATTCATTATTAGTGCCTTCAATTAAGGGAGGATTGTCAACCTAAAAACTACTAATTGGTAGAGGTCAAACCTACTTAATAATAAACTTCCAATCTTTGCCACATTCAGGATTGTCAACAAGTCCAAATACTGCAATTAGAGAATGAAAATCAAACAAGGACGGACAATTGTAAAATAGAGAGAACTTTACTCATAACTAGAGAACTTTTTCTCTCTATAGGCTCTCCTTTAGAAAACTAAGCTGCTCTACTTTCCAAAATTTTGTGTTCCTTCTGTTTCCGTTTGAGCTTCTTCCTAATTTGCTTTTTTCGTCTTTCTGAAGAATTGCATCCTTTTCCATTTTCTCTTGTTTATTTCCAGTATATATATCTGTCTTTGCTTTCTTGATTCACAAAGGACATAGACAATAACTGGTGCAATGAATTGTATAAACTGGAATTAAGCAGCAAAGAGAGACTCGGGTAATAATGATTTGCATTTTCAGAAAATCAAGAACAGTAAAGCAAACTGAAGGAGTATCTCCGGAATGGAGGTTTTTTCACCTCTAAACTTCTGCACTAACCTTGTTCTTTTACTTTCTGCAATAACGGACAATTGCAAACACACCTTTGCCAAAGCCTCTCTCACCCACCAGTTATATACAAATACAAATTTTATACAAAATTATATAATATGTTTTTTTGTATATTTTGTATCTAATTTATACATAGTAAAAATAAATTTTATACAGCTAATTATATATTATACAATTTATCAACAACTTATCTATAACTTTCACATATTATTTCTACCCAGTTAAATACAACTGCAATAACATACAACTTAAATACAAATTTTATACAAAATTATAAAATATGTCTTTTGTATATTTTGTATCTGATTTATACATAGTAAAAATAAATTTCACACAATTATTTATATATTATACAACTTACCTACAACTTATCTATAATTTTCATATATTTTTTCTACTCAGTTATATACAACTACAATATCATACAACTTAAATATAATTTTTATAAAATGTTGTTCAACTTTCATACAATAGTTAAATAAATAAATAAAAAATATATAAACAACA